TGTGTGTGTACACTCAGCTCACATGATTTTGAAGGCTGTGTGTGTGTGTGTGTGTGTGTGTGTGTGTGTGTGTACTCAGCTCACATAATTTTGAAGGCTAAGTCCTGAGATCTGTCTGTGCTTGGCAAGCCGGAGCCCCAGGAGAGTCTGTGGGGTCATTCTAGCTCGAGTCTGAAGGCCTGAGACCCAAAAAATCCAGATGTGTACATTCCATTCCAAAGGCCAGCAGGCTCAAGGCCTGTGAAGACTCACTGTTTCAGCCAAGCCTGAAGGCAGGACAAGACCCTGCCCCGGCTCAAGCAGTGAAGAAGAGGAGTTCCCTTTTACTCAGGCCTTTTGTTCCATTGGGCTTCAACTGACTGGATGAGGCCCACCCACATGAGGGACAGAGCCGTGCATTACTGGGTGTGCTGAGTCAAATGCCAATCTCATCCAGAAACACACTCACAGTCACACCCAGAATCATGTCGGACCAACTGTCTGGTCACCCTGTGGCCCGGTCAAGTCGACACATACAGTTGACCATCACCCTCAGCAACTGAAGGAAGGTTCATCTCCGTCCCAGACAGGCAGATTGCTCGGTCCCCAGTGCTCATGTCCTTGGATTTCAGGGACATCAGCAATTCCTTCTTGGGCTCCAGCACCCTCAGCTCACATTTGGGAAGTGCCTGGCTCAGAACAGTGTTTTCTAGGTGGGAAAGAACACCTGTGTCTCTTGAGACGTTAGTGAGCATTTCCCCCAAGAAGTGCTCAGTCACATCAGCACCCAGGGTCTCTGCCTGAAAACTTCTCACAGCATGGGGGCTGACGCCACCTCTGAGAAACCCTCTGGGTCCCCAAATGCTTGCAACTAACAGAGCTTCTTTTAAAAGAACACTCTGGCTGGGTGTGGTGGCTCATGCCTGTAATCCCAGCACTTTGGGAGGCCGAGGTGGTAGGACCACCTGAGGTTGGGAGTTCAGGACCAGCCTGGCCAACATAGTGAAACCGCATCTCTACTAAAAATACAGAAAAAAAAAATTAACTGGCTGTGGTGGCAGACACCTGTAATCCCAGCTACTCAGGAGGCTGAGGCAGGAGAATCACTGAATCCAGGAGGCAGAGGTTGCAATGAACCAAGATTGCACCACTGCATTCCAGCCTGAGCAACAGAGCAAGACTCTGTCTCAAAAAAAAAAAAAAAAGAGAGAAAAAGAACACTCTTGGCAGTGGGTGACAGGTGGAACCCAGTTTGGGAAATGCTGGTTTGAAGCTGGGCTCTTCCAGATTTGGGGTGCTTTCTGTTGGAAACGCCCTGGTGCCTTTGGAGGATGTGATGTGATGGAAGCTGGTCCCAGCTGCCGCTGCCTCTGTCCCCTCACCTGTGCAGTGCTAGGGGATGCGTAGACATTCCTCGCGTGGACGTTGGACTCTGTGTGGAGGCAGGAAACAGGTGTAGGGTGACGTCCCTGGCCGTTCCCATCTGACTGGTGTCCTGCTCTGTGCTAGCAGCCGCGGGCGCCCACAGCCGGCAGAGGAGGTCCCCATGCACTTAAGCACCTGCCCGGGTCGGATGGTTTAGACCCATGGCAAAGTGAGCTCCATCTCCCCCTGCAGTAAGGTTTGGGAACCCTGTCTGCAGCTGAACGCGTTGCTACTTGTACTTGGCTGTGTTTAGGATAGAAAATGCTCCACACTGGGGATGGTGGTGGCTCATCGGTTCCCTCCCTTCCCATGAGAAGGGGCATTGTTTCAGAGCAGAGCCTGGAGCTCAAGCTGCCTGTGCAGACTTTCCTGTAGATACCCACCCCCGCCACCCCCCATAACAGGAGTCCAGCAGCTACTTCCTTAGTCCTCAGTCTCCCCACGAGGACCAAAAATAAAGTGCTCTTTATGTTTTCAGAACTTAGAGTGTGCTCCGTCGACTGCTGAGGAATCCTGTCCTCCCAAACCTCCGCGGGCTCACGAGCTAAAGCTGCTGGTGAGGAGCATCCGCGCCTTCCTGCTCAGCGAGCCTGATGCTTCAGGTGGGTGACCACGGGATCCTGCCTCCTGGATGGGGCTGTTCCTGCCCCTGAGCAGAGTCGGGGGCTGCCAGGTGGGCTCCAGGGGGCTTGGATTCTCTGGTGGCATCCTCCCATGGGGCCGCGGCGGGAGCCCTGCCTTTGTTGCAGAAAGCACCTGAAAATGTAACAGGAACAAGAGGTGGTTAAAAATCTGATCCTATCTCTGCACGTGTGAAGGCCTGTGGGAGAACGGAGTGTAATTGGTTTTACCTTTTTCATTTGTCTGGAGTGATCCTTTTTTTCTTTTCTTTCCTTTTTTTTTTAATATTGAACCCATATGTATGTGTCGAGCATCCTGACCAAGGTGCAGCTTCTGCTGTCAGGCGCAGTGGCTCACACCTGTAATCCCAGCACTTTGGGAGGCTGAGGTGGGCGGATCACAAGGTTAGGAGTTCAAAACCAGCCTGGCCAACATGGTGAAACCCTGTCTCTATTAAAGATACAAAAAATTAGCTAGGCATGCTGGTGCATGCCTGTAATCTTAGCTACTTGGGAGGCTGAGGCAGAAGAGTCACTTAAACCTGGGAGGCAGAGGTTGCAGTGAGCCAAGATCATGCCATTGCACTCCAGCCTGGGCAATAGGGCAAGACTCCATCTCAGAAAAAAAAAAAAAAAAGAATGTGGGTGAAGCGGGGATTTGATGCATCAAGTGGCTTCGGCCACACTCGGGACTCCGGTGCTGGGAGGCCATGGCTGCTGTTGGAACCAAGACAAGCAACACAGAACGGATGACCCCTTCTGGGTGGTTCTGAATCATTGCTGAGCCCTGGACACAGAGTCACTCGGGACAGGGCACCTCTTTATGCCGCAACTCCATTTTGCCAAGAACAGGAGCAAACTGTGTTGCCCGAGCATGTGAAGGGGGACTTACCTTTATTTGCAAGGGGCTTCTTCCAGTCCAAAAGCACAAATAGGCCACCTCTAGCAGCCGAGACTGTGCAGGGCCAAGCTGTCGAGGATTTCTTTCGGTGAAAGTGCTGCGTGTTGCCCTTTAAGCCTGTACTGCCTAGTGGCTCAGCCTGGGCTCCCTGGACTCAGCTGGCCAGGGTTGGGGTCCCAGCTCCCACACACACCTGCCCTGAGGCCAGGCCCCCTTCCTGCCTCTGCTGGATGTCTCCATGCCTGGGCCCGAGCCTCCCTTGACGAGTGACTGTGAAAGCCCAGTAGAGAATCTGCGTAGGCTGCTCCTCCCTCCTGCTGCGTGGGTCAGGGTCCACACACTCTCGCAATGACTGATTCCACAGTGTATTGGGACCGTGTGCTGCAGGGAGAAGCGTTGTCTGAAAGCAGAAAGAACTGTGCGCTAGTGACATGTCCCACCACCTGGGTCAAATACCCCGGCAGCACCTGTCTGGTATAAGGCGAGAAAAGGGTGCTCCGTGAGGTAGCTCCCAATTTAGGAGTCAACAGGAATTGATGTTTCGGCTTTGGCAAGCTTTAGTCTTATCCAAAAGTGGGGACCAGGCCTCTGTATGTAATGGTGCTGCCTCTCGGGGACGGTCCCCCTGGGAGCCCATGACTATGCCCTCATAATTATTTTCCTAATTAGCTCCCGGGTCCTATATATCATCTCCCTAATACAACAGAACTAACTCACACCAGTACCATGAACGCTTAAGAAATGGGGCCGGGCGCGGTGGCTCAAGCCTGTAATCCCAGCACTTTGGGAGGCCGAGGCGGGTGGATCACGAGGTCAAGAGATCGAGACCATCCTGGTCAACATGGTGAAACCCCGTCTCTACTAAAAATGCAAAAAATTAGCTGGGCATGGTGGTGCGTGCCTGTAATCCCAGCTACTCAGGAGGCTGAGGCAGGAGAATTGCCTGAACCCAGGAGGCGGAGGTTGCGGTGAGCCGAGATCACGCCATTGCACTCCAGCCTGGGTAACAAGAGTGAAACACCGTCTCAAAAAACAAACAAACAAACAAACAAACAAAAAACAAAAAAGAAATGGAAACAGTCTGAACCATCTTACCTGCCGTCATCCTCATCATACGTGCCCTCCCATCCCTAAGTATCTTACATGTAACAGACGAAATTCATAAACCTTATTTAACCCTCAAAACATTCGGCCGCCAATGATACTGAAGCTCTGAATATTCAGACTGTGAGGCTCTGGCCTTTGACTCTTACGTAATACCAACACTGTGTCTACAACAGGTGAGCTTCGACTCCCTCAAGTTGGTAACCTGTGGCCCACACTGGCGGAGGGGGCCAGGCACTTGGAGTCAGCCCAGGGCTGTTGATATCAAATGTGGGAAAAATTATTTCACCCTGATAAAGGCTGGTGCTTTGAGAGTTTGAAAATGGCAAATGAAAGAATTCCCACTCTCTGAAGTGGGTAAGCCTCAACCTTAGTCATTTAATTTAGCCTTTCTTTCTATGCATACAATGGCTTCACGCAGTTTAAAAAATAAAAATAAACACCGACGCGATGTGCTTCCTTTAATGACAGGCCACATTAACACAGTGTGCGTGGTGCAGCTGAACGATCCTCTTCAGAGGTTCTCCAGCACCCTGACGGAAAACACCACGGACCTCACGTGGGAAGAGGAATTCACCTTGTGAGTCTGGCCGGGTTATCGCGGGCCTGCACGTCCATGCTGCGTGTTCAGGAGCGCCAAATCCTGAAATCATTCTGCAGCACCGTTTAGGCCAAAACACTAAACCAAAAAAGTTAAAAACAAATGATGTTGGCCGGGCGCAGCGGCTCACACCTGTAATCCCAGCACTTTGGGAGGCCAAGGTGGGCAGATCACGAGGTCAGGAGATCTAGACCATCCTGGCCAACATCATGAAACCCTGTCTCTACTAAAAATATGAAATTAGCCGGGCGTGGTGGCATGCGCCTGTAGTCCCAGCTGTTTGGGGGCTGAGGCAGGAGACCCACTTGAACCCAGGAGGCGGAGGTTGCAGTGAGCTGAGATTGTGCTACTGCACTCCAGCCTAGAGACAGAGACTACATCTCAAACAAAACAAAACAAAAAACAAATGATGTCCTAAACATCTTAAAGGTAGCTTGAGGTCAAACCTGAGTTTCTTTTTAAAGGCAGCTCTTAGAGTCAGTTTTCTCCTGCCCTGACATGATGAGAAGGAGCTGTTGTTGGGTCTCTTAGAGACACACACACCATCCTGGGCAGAAAGGGAGGGTGCCTCTGACTGAATCCAGAACCTAACAAAATAGAAAAAGGGGCTGGGCACGGGCGCTCATGCTTATAATCCCAGCTGTTTGGGAGGCAGAGGCAGGAAGATCACTTTAGCCTAGGAATTTAAGACCAGCCTGAGCAATAAAGCAAGACCTCTTCTCTACTAAAAATTTTTTAAAAAATGAACTGGGTATGGTGGCACTTGCCCATAGTACTCCTGGCTACTTGGGAGCCTGATGCGGGAGGATCGCTTGAGCCTGGGAGAGCAAGGCTACAGTGAGCTGTGATTGTGTCACTGCATTCTAGCCCGGGTAACAGAGATACTCTTGTCTGAGAAAAAAAAAAAAAAAAAAGTAAAAGGCTGGGTGCAGTAGCTCACACATGTAATCCTAGTACTTTGGGAGGCTGAGGTGGGTGGATCACTTAAAGTCAGGAGTTCGAGACCAGCCAGGCCAACATGGTGAATGAAACCCTGTCTCTACTAAAAATCCAAAATTTAGCCAGACATGATGACGGGTGCCTGTAATCACAGGTACTCAGGAGGCTGAGGCAGGAGAATTGCTTAAGCCTGGGATTCAGAGGTTGCAGTGAGCCAAACTTACACCACTGCACTTCAGCCTGGGCAGCAGAGTGAGACTCCATCTCCAAAAAAATAAAAACGTGAAGAATAGAGAAAGAGAAAACTGTAGGCCATGCATAAATAATGATGTAAGAATCATAAATAAAATATTATCAAATAGAATCTAGCAGCACATGAAAAATAAAACCAGCTGTGTTCATACCAGGGCTGTAAGGATGTAATGTGCTTTCACATAAGGAAATCTATTAATGGTGTTTATAATATTGCTAGATCAAAGGAGAAAATAAACGTATTATCTCTACATATGTCCAAAAGACATTCAGTGACATTTCATACCCATTCTTTGTTTTGAAGATGGAGTTTTGCTCTTGTTGCCCAGGCTGGAATGCATTGGCACAATCTCAGCTCACTGCAACCTCTGCCTCTTGGGTTCAAGCGATTCTTCTGCCTCAGCCACCTGAGTAGCTGGGATTACGGGTGCATGCCACCACACCCAGCTAATTTTTATATTTTTAGTAGATACGGGATTTCACCATGTTGGCCAGGCTGGTCTCGAACTCCTGACCTCAGGTGATCCACCTACCTTAGCCTCCCAAAGTGCTGGGGTTACAGGCATAAGCCACTGTGCCTGGCCCCCAGTCTTAATTTTTAAAAGCTTAATTAGAACAAAATTTATGGATAGTTCTTTAATAAGATTTTTAAAATCACCATAAATGGCAAATACCAGAAGCAAACTCACTAAAATCAAGAGAAGGATGCCTATTGTTTTGTTCTAGAAGTATTGGTTATTGCAATTAGATAAGGGAAAAAATTCACAAATACTGGAAAGGAAGAGGCAAAACTAATTGCATGGAGATAATATGACGGCACATCTGGACTATTTGAGAAAATCAACTCAAACTATTAGAAATAATAATGGATATAAGGTAGAAATGAATATTTAAAAATGAATAGAAATAATCATTTAATGAATTAGCTGAGTGGCAAAGTATTGAAATCAATCACTAACGCTTAAGAAATGGACAATTAGAAAAAGTAATAGAAGACAATTTCCCTTGTGTATCTGTGTAAGGAGCTTTTATAAATCATGAATGAAAAGATGATCGCTGCCTTGGAAAGCTGGGCAAAATTCCTGACCTGGAAATACAAAGACCAGAGCTACCCATGGCCGCCAACTTCTGAAAAGATAGTCAGAAATAAGTCAAGTAATGCAAACTTCAACAAAAAAGAAGGGTCATTTTTCCACCTCACAGGTTGGTTATGAATAAGAGAGTGAGAATGGCATTGGAGGTGTCCCTGGGAATAACCATCTGGATGCCGTCAACCGGCCTAAATACAGGACACCTGTCAGATGCACGTGCCGTTTGACAGGCAATTAGGGTTTTCCTAAGGAAATAGTCACATGGCATGCAAAGATATATGCATAAGAATGTGCGTCTCTGCCGGGTGCGGTGGCTCACCCCTGTGATCCCAGCACTTTGGGAGGCCGAGGCAGGTGGATCACCTGAAGTCAGGAGTTTGAGACCAGCCTGACCAACATGTAGAAACCCCATCTATACTAAAAATACAAAATTAACCAGGCGTGGTGGTACATTCGTGTAATCCTAGCCACTCCGGAGGCTGAGGCAGGAGAATTGCTTGAACCCAGGAGGCAGAGGTTGTGGTGAGCCAAAATCGCGCCATTGCACTCCAGCCTGGGCAACAAGAGTGAAACGCTGTCTTAAAAAAAAAAAAATACTAGAGACCCGTTAAACGTGATGCTGCTCTGTAGTTATCCAGAAAGATACCCCCAGAGTTTTCAGTTAAAAGAGTAGGTTACAGGCTGGCTGCAGTGGCTCACACCTGTAATCCCAGCACTTTGGGAGGCCGAGGTGGGCGGATGGCTTCAGCTCAGGAGTTTGAGACTAGCCTGGGCAACATAGCAAGACTTCATCTCTACTTTTTTTTTTCTTTTTAATGAAAATTAAGTTAGGAGGAGGAGGGTGGTAATTCATTTTCCATATTTTGTCTTTAAGTCATTATATACTTTCAATATGGGAATGACTGGCCACATGTGTCTCTTTAAATTTAAGTTATTGGAAATTTTTAAAAATGACGTTCAGTTCCTCAGCTTGCACTGGCCACCTCTCCAGTGCTGTTTCCAAATGAAACAGCAGATACTCTTTCCTTTTTGGGCTTATATGTCTCAGTAGTTTGTTAAATATTGACATTTTTATGTTTCTATAATCAGAAAAAGTACTATATTTTGTAAAAAGAATGAAGCATTGTATTTTTTAGGACTCATAACTTTTTTCTCTTCCAAAGCGAGTTGAATGCCAAGTCGAAGGAGTTATACCTGCAGATTTCAGAGGCTGGGCGATCCTCAGAAGGTGGGTTGAGCAGGAGGACCAAGGCCCTGCCCTCTGGAAAGGTCCTCGCAGGCCTGACCAGGGCCTCAGGAAGGGGCGGAGGGAGACCCAGCAGAGGAAGCCAACCCCTCCCCTAAGTGACTTTGGTTTCCCCACGGCAATGTTTGGTGGAATGGCAATTTGAGTTATTAACAAGGTCATGCATTTTAGGGAAATATTCAACTGGATTTTTTGTTTTATTTTTTGAAAAAAAATCCAAAATCTTTTATGCAACAATTTTTGGCTTAGAGAAGTCGTTCTGGACCTTCCTAGCCTCAAGAGACCTTTTTTTTTTTTGAAAGCAATAAACAAAATGAAAAAAAACCTTTTAACTGTGGTAAGATAAACAACAGAAACTTATCATCTGACCCGTTTCTGTGTATGTAGTTCAGGGGCAGTAAATACATTCACATTGTGCAACCATCACCCCATCTGTCTCCAGAGCTCCTCAATCTCTATTCTGCTGCCTGCCTGAGTTTCATCGGGTATCTCTATAAAATAAACTTCAGAGGCTTACACTGAACTTACAATTTAGACACAAGAAAGCAACAATTAGAGGTAAAGTCACTAAAACCCTAAAATGAATGTGGGCCTGTATGTGTACATGTGTACAGATCACTAGTTTCAAGATTTGTTAGGTTTTTAAAAATAAAAATATTTTCTTAGATTTCAAAACTCTCTCCATAAACATACCAAAATTGGGAAGTCCTTGGCCAGCTTATCCAGCTGTAAAGTCAAGGCATTTGGTTACATCCTAAAGTTAGAAGGTCGTTATTTCTCCCGATTAACTAGATATATCCTGGTTGTTAGCAAGAATCCTGAGGCAACTTCCTTGATTTTGGAGTCCCGAGAAAACGGGGATGCCCATGAGTTAAGAATCCTGAGAGAGAAGCGCTCTGCAAGTCAGGGACCAGCGCAGCCTGGGGGTGCTGTTTACCTGGAGGGACGCCAGCTTCTGAGCCAGCGTTCCTGGGTCCCCATTCCTGCTGGCCTCATTCACATTTCATTCCAGCCAGCCTGATGCAATCTATGAAATTTCAAGCTTTACAAAAACAGTACAAAGAACAGCCACATAACCTTTACTCAGAATCCCATATCCTTAACATTTGCCCAATTTCTTTTATTATTTGTGCTCATGCTTGGTCTCTCCCTGCCACACTTATTTTCTTTTTACACACACATACCTTGAGGGTAAATTGCATGGGTCTTGATTCCTTAGTGTGTATTTTCCTAGGAATGGGGATCTTCTCTTCTGTGTCCATAGCACAGCTGTCAGCTTCCTGAGTTTACATTGCTGCAATTCTTTAATTTATGCCCATTTTCCAGTTTTTTGTCACTGGGTGACCCCATGATGTCCTTCAGGGCAGCTCCCTCTCCACTTCAGCCCAGGGCCGAACGCTGCCTCAATGTCCTGTGGCTTTAGCATCCTCTGTCTGGCAGCGATTCCACAGCCTTTCTTTGTCTTTTATGACATTGATGTTTTTAAAACGTTCTGAAACGTGAGTGCTTTTGAGTGTGCTGGATGCACGTGAGGGGCACATTCTGGCTGCCGGGCGTGCGGGCCCCTTTGTTCTCACGGAACTGCATGGAAACGTCAGCAGCCCCCCTTGCCTGTGTCCTGTCTTTCCAGGTCTGCTGGCGATGGCGACAGTTCCTTTGGATTTATTTAAGAAGCAGCCTTCTGGACCACAAAGTTTCATGCTGACCAGCGGCTGCTCGGTGCTGGGCTCCGTCACGGCAGAGGTAGGGCGAGGCTCTCCACTACAGCCGGGTTCCGCTTAGAGCCCGTATCCCAGGACTTAGGTCTGCCAGAGCCTCGCTTCCACTTCCGTGTGATATAAGACCTCACTAAGAGGAGGTGCTATTTCATCGTACGCATGTCTACACTCAAATAGAGCATGTTCTGTCCACTCTATGGTTGAGTTGTCTGCTGGAGGAGATAGCCTTTCAGGATGCCAGTTTATGGGCCTACCCCCAAAAGGCCTTTGAAAATTTTGCTTGGTTCTCCAGCTTCTGTTCTGTTCCCATCATTATGTGTTGAGCCTGCCATGTGTGAGGTAGGATCTGTGTCCGCTCTGGGAAGATCCAGGTTAATTGGAAATAAGTGACCTTAAGGGAAAAAAATTATGGTTATTTCAAAAGAAGGCAGCGTGACGTGGCTGATCAGCCTGTGCGCACAAAACCAGAAACAAGTAACGTGGCCATGCGCGGTGGCTCACGCCTGTCATCCCAGCACTTTGGGTGGATCACGAGGTCAAGAGATCGAGACCATCCTGGCCAACATAGTGAAACCCCGTCTCTACTAAAAAAATACAAAAATTAGCTGGGCGTGGTGGCGCGCTCCTGTAGTCCCAGCTACGCGGGAGGCTGAGGCAGGAGAATTGCTTGAATCTGGGAGGCGGAGGTTGCAGTGAGCTGAGATTGCGCCACTGCACTCCAGCCTGGCCCCTGGCGACAGAGCGGGACTCTGTCTCAAAAAAAAAAAAAAAAAAAAAAAGGAAACAAGTAACATGTCTTCTTTGCAGTTTTCTTATGTGGAACCTGGTGAATTGAAATCCTCGCCCATCCCTCCCCCTGTTCCTGCTGCAAAAATAGAAAAGGACCGCACGGTGATGCCCTGTGGGACTGTGGTCACTACTGTCACCGCTGTGAAGACCAAGCCTCGTGTCGACATGGGGAGGGCGTCCCCGCTGAGCTCTGGTGGGTCAATAGGAGCACAGCCCAGGACCTGGGCACCACGCCTGCTGTAACCGCCCCGCCTCCGGGACTGCAGAGTTCTATAGCCTGCAGCGCAGAGTGTGAGGAGCGTGTCACAGCACGGGAA